CTGCCTCCCCGCCTCCTCAGGCGCGGGCAGGCTGCAGGCCCCCTCCCCTCTCCCACCCAGGCTTTCTCCGCCCCGAGCGACCGCCGCCCCCGCTCCTGTGGAAGGGGACGGGGCGCTCTTCCCGGGCAGGCTGGAGGAGGCGGGCCCTGGGGCGCGCCCCCGCGGTGGTCCCCCCTCTCGGGCTTCTCCGGGGGCTCCCCAGGGATCCGCCGAAGCCGTTTCGCTGGGGCGATGTGGAGCTTGATCAGACAGGCGGGCCTGCTGCGCTGCTGGTCGCTGCTTAATCCGCGTTACTGTGTCCGCTAAAATTCCCCCTCCCCAAATCTGTAAAGGAGTCAAAATCTAATTAAATGCTTATGAAGTTAGGCATTTCTTTCGGAAAAAGTAAAACTCGCGTGTTTCCCTGACTCTAGTGATTGTATTTAATTCCTCTTTCTTACGGCTTTGTCTTGAGCAGCTCCGCCCTTTGTAGCATCTTTGTCTTACCGAGGCATCGTTTTCTCACTGCACAGTATCCTGTGGTGACGTGTCACCACCATGCTGAGCATTGTCAGGTGATTTTTTTTTTCCTTAATGGGAAGCAATAGTTTGAGATGTTTTTAAAACTGTTAGCACTATGCATAAAAACATAGAAGTCGGTAGAGATCCTGCATGGCAGCCCTCTGTTGAGGCATTGCTGTCTTATCCTTAAGTGGTAGGTATTTCCAAATCTAGTCCCTGTGCAAATAGGCACAATCAGGTGGATTGTGACTCTTTAGGCATTTGGGTTAAAAATGTCAGCTGGGTTGTGAAAACCTGAATTTTCTGTACCAAAATATCGCACCATACTTGGGTTAAATGAAATTATGTATATTTAAACGGGAGTTCACACGCAGAATTTAATGGTCTAACAAAACCTCATATTGATTCAAACTCCTATCTTTTATGCTATCAATATGTATGAACTTTGGTTCCGCTAGTACAGAGTGATATTTAGAGAGATGATACTTAACTGCTTAATCTCCTGTACAAATTCTATGAAATGATCATAGAAGTGGTAAATCTGTATGAGCTAAGCTTCCAGGCTGATATGCCTGTACATAAGTGCCTAGACCACTGATAATATCCTGCTAACGAAGTACTGTCAGTGTTCATTTTGCTTTAATTAACATTTTAAACACAACTTAATGGATTAGCCAGTTAGGCTTTAATTACTAGCTGAATATAGTTAACTTAAACATTTTTAATTATTGTCAAATAGTAAGTGACAGTATAACTATAGGTTTTAATTCAAATACTTGCATTAATATATACTGCGTTTTCAAGTGCATAAACAGCCTTCCTGATAACTGGTGTTTGTAGTGCATGAAGAATCCCTGTATACTTCCTCTTGGTTTTGAGTGTTTGTTTCAATACAGAGAAACTCAGCTAATGGTCTTTTAGATAAAATGATTTACATGAGCGTGTAATCTTGACTAAGTCAGATTTACTGTGGGTAACTAACCCTCGTCCTTTCCTTTAAAGCGCCCAAACAAATCAGGGTTGTGTTTTGGGGTTGTTTTTTTTTTTGTTATCCCCCACCCCGATGGCTTTAAAGTGTTGATTTTCTTTCCACATTTAAAACCACAGCTAATCAGCACTTAAAGCCTGTATGATAGTTCTTATAGGAGAAATCTGTCTGTGCTGATCTTTAAGGATATGTCAGTATAAACACAGTTTATCCAGAGAAACAAACTGTGAGGGTGAGGTAGCAGAGGAGTCAGATGTAGTGGAGTCTGTGCTAGTGCAGACTGTGCCACGGCCAGCAAAACTACTCCTCTTTTGTCTGGGAGGGTGCTGCTGCCGGCATTGCTTCAGCTGTGTAGCTTCTCTGCAAGGCCGCATGTTGTACCATGCAGAGCTGCTCTGGGTAACTGGCCTTGGTGTCTGGCCTCATGCCTTTATTTCTTCTGGATTTTTTGTGTGGTGTTACTGCTGGTTGTAGCTCTGCCCTACTGTGCGCTGATCAGGCGGTGTTTCAGTTTAGCAGTTTTAAGAGCAAAGATGAGCCTGTTGGAGATGGGGGGTGGGAGGTGGGGGGAAGGCCTTAAGAGCACTGTCATCTCACCAAAAGTCTTCTGATCCTGACGACCTAGATTGGTCAGGCAGTGCCGTTTTCACTCTGCTGGGTCTTGCCTCTACTGCATTGTTCCCTGAAATAGCTCAGCTGCTGTTTTGCTCGCTTTAATATTCTATCAAGGCAAAGATCTTGATTGAATCAGTTCCTTTAAGTGTATGAATAAGGGATGATGTAGCGAAAACCTGACTAGGCCCAGCGGGGGGCCTAGTGTTTTTGCGAATCCTTAATTCAGTATATAATCATTTAGTCATTACCCCAGTAAGAAGATTATGTTTGATATTAAAAACTTGTTCTGTGTGTGTGCATCAGGGGCAGTAACACTTGACTTTCAGTGGTTTTGTGGGATTTTCTCTCTTCTCTCTCCTGCAATATTCATCTGGTAATAGAATCATAGAATCTTTAAGGTTGGAAACGACCTCTAAGATCATTGAGTCCAACTGTCGACCCAACACCACCATGCCCACTAAACCATGTCCCTAAGCACCTCATCTACACGTCTTTTAAATACTTCAGGGATGGGGACTCAACCACTTCCCTGGGCAGCCTCTTCCAATGTTTAACCACTCTTTCAGTAAAGACATTTTTCCTCACGTCCAATCTAAACCTCCCCTGGTACAACTTGAGGCCATTTCCTCTCATCCTATCACTAGTTACTTGGGAGAAGAGACTGACCCCCACCTTGCTACAACCTCCTTTCAGGTAGTTGTAGAGAGCGATGAGGTCTCCCCTGAGCCTCCTTTTCTCCAGGCTAAACAACCCCACTTCCCTCAGCTGCTCCTCATAAGACTTGTTCTCCAGACCTCTCACCAGCCTTGTTGCCCTTCTCTGGACACGTTCCAACATCTCAACATCCTTCTTGTAGTGAGGGGCCCAAAACTGAACACAGTATTTGAGGTGCGGCCTCACCAGTGCCGAGTACAGGGGCACGATCACTTCAGTGATTGTGTTATGTGTTCCTCCTGCAATTTCCACTGCTCTAGAGAATGAAGTGACTGGTTTAGCAGTCATGAATTAACTTGTCTGCCCAGCTGCCTGCTCCCAGAATAGGTGTGTGGGTCATCTTTTCTTATTTTGCCTTGGTGAACACCACTGAGCTGCTTATTTTTCTCAAAAACGTGCAGGGATGTGAGTTGGTTGGTAGGTCCAAAAGTTACCGGATGGCAATAGGTTTATGCAGTCGTGACTTAGTAACTGTTGTCCAAGCTTCCTTAAGAAAGCAAGCTCAAAACGAATTGCAGAGTAACTGTCTGCATCTCTGACTAAGCTGGCCTTCACCTGGGGAGCTAATATTAAGCTTTGATTTGTGTAGTAGTATCCTACTGTTTGTACTGTAGTATTTTTTTTTGTAGGAGGCGTGCTCTGAATTTAGGAAGAAAGAAAATGACACAAACTGTCCTTGCCTCCTCTGCTGATAAACTCAGCTCCGTGGGCCAAATGTTCTTTGCTCTCTGTTCTTTTTGAAGTCTGTTACTTGTTAGAAGTGTGTTTGCCAGTGGTACAATAATACTATTTTATTGGAATGGTATGTATTTTATTCTGTCTTGCTAAAAGAAAGAGGGACTTGGACTGTAATGTGATTCCTTGTAGAAATGGCCAACTTATGTAAACAGTATCATTTATCAGTAGGTCTCTTGTTCAGAGATGTGCATGATCACAGCTTGTAAGGATGAACTGTTTTAAAAGCTGGTGTTGGAGCTCAGACACACAAATGAGGCATACTGCCTCATTTGAGGCACATTGTTTCCCAGTGAGGGGAAGACAGTCATCTTTATTTCGGTCACTGCAAGCCTCCCCTGTGTCTAGAAACATGCATTCCTCTGTGTTCCCCTTGATGCACTCAGGAGGAAGCTGCTTGAATTACTTAGGTATTTAGCAAACAATTTTAACACTGGGATTCTCCAGAGAAGTGACTTTTATGTAAGATGGTCCTTGCACCAAATTTTCTGCAGCAGATGAACCTAGGCTTATATTCAACTCTGCCAAATTCAACCTTTTATTCAACAGTATCTTCAAAAATATTAATGCAGACAGAATTAGTTCAAGAAAGCAATTTTTTGAACAGAGAATAGAAAGGTTATTTGTGTGTGTGTGTAGGAAATAGTGTAATACATTAGTACTATAAAATCCTAATGAATCCTAAGTCAATATTTGCCATACATTTCCTGCTTACTAAGCATAGATGCCCTTAATGTAGTTGCTTGCAGTCATAGAACAGCCTCGAAGGATCATCTGGTCCAACCTTTCAAAGGAAGGGAAGCCACCTAGATGAGGTGATCTAGCACCCTGTCCAGTCGTGTCTTGAAAACCTTCAGTGATGGGGACTCTACCATGTCCTTGGGGACGTTGTTGCAGTGACTGATTGTTCTCACTGTAAAAAATTTCTTTCTTACAATGAGATGAAACCTCTCTTGGAATCAACACCTTCATACTCTTTGTGCTATAATGATACTGAGTGGAGGAGGCGGTAAAAAAGGGCAATATAATATCTTTGACATACTGAAATAGTTATAATGAGAATCTAGCTAGTTTCGCTTTTTTAGCAAGACAAATTTAATAGTGAAGTTTGCTAATTTAAAAATGATTCTGTAGCATAGTGGAGTGAAAATTCTTGGCTCTTCCATCCTCGAAAAGGAACACAAGTACAAAAAGAATACCAGGAAAGTATTTAAAAGACCCAGTTTGTGGGTCCAGTGTGTGGGTCCGGTTGAACCTGTAAGAACAGCTAATCTGAGCCTTTTCCTGAGGGCTTCTCAGGAGGCTGCCAAGAGCCTTGTTGCAGTCTGTCTGCTCTTCCCTGCAAGCCCTGGGGCCTTCCTGGTAGCGGCGGCGGACTGCTGGCATTTTTGTTTGTCATATGACTAAACTTTTAACAACCCTCTCTGACACAAGCCAGTCATACTGGATGATTGACGTGCACTGGTCATGTGGCCGTGTAACCAGTCATGTTCATATGTGACTGACTGGGTGTCTTTCATGCGGTGATTAACACCTCCTGTGGCTTTCGTCACATGGCGGAGGTGTCCCTGCATGTGTGCTGGGGGAGAAGCTGGGTTTTAGCGCCCTTCAGTATCTTTGTCAGAGGTTGCGTGGTCTGTTGTAGCTCAGATAGGGCAGCGCTCGCTTCGTAACTTTACCTTAGCTGAAAAATATGTGGCATCCAAACCCTAGCTGTTAACTGCTCACTGGGATTTCCCATGTCTTCTAGGCAAAATAATTTATTTGTAAATTAAAAAAACCCAGAAAACAAACCATTTTGATTGTACCCTTCCTCTTTTGGCTTACGTTTACTTGTGGAACCTTGCCCTTCTTTCGCTTCCTGAATTGTCACTCGGCAAGTGGCAGAAAATTGCGAAGGGGTGAAGTACGCTTCCCGCTTCCCACCCCCGGGTGAGATAGCACTATCTGCTCCCTTTCCTTCTTCCCACAATTTTCTGTTTAAGAGTTAAATACAGGTAAATTTTGTCCTATTTTTCCCCCTCGTAGTATTACGGCTGTACAGCATTCCTGTTCACTTTTGCTGTTGGTATTTGGTAGCAATGATAATACATACACTGTGTGTTTGCTTTGTTCTTGTGGTTTGTAACTTTTACATTGCATAAGTTAATTTTGCCAGCTAACAGGATTATGTGATACGTGAGTAGCTGCTAAATATGCAATAATTTGCAACCTAAGCTTTATGCTATTTTACCTATTGTTTGTGCTCCAGTAATGCTTATGGCCCCAGTGAGGATTGTGGCCCAACTCTGCCAGATGCTGAAAATGTACCTAGATGGCAGTTGTGCTCAAATTTCTTTTCTGCGGTGTATTTGTTTAATCTCTGCAGCTGTGGAAGGGAGGATGTAGTTGTTAACTAAAAGCAATTCTTGCATCTCATTTAGCTGAAATGAAATAAAATTCAAGAGAACAAATGAGCCTGAATCCAGTCTTTATTTCCTCTGAATGGATAAATGATTACTTTTGACATAGCACTAATTTCACTCCGCAGCGGTGCCAAGATTGTTACGGGGCTCTGTAATGTGTTGCAGCGACTTAGTCTACACTAGTGATGAGATGCATAGGATGAGTCATTTTCCATCATAACTTCTGATGATCTACACAGCCTGATTAAATATTGAAATCTAGCAATGCAAAACTTTTTAAAGAATTTGTTTTATGTTCTGTCTCTCTGTCAGATACCGTGCTTATGTGGAAGTGCCCCGTGCTTGCTCTGCCGATGCTGCCCCAGTGGAAACAACTCCACCATAACTCGGCTGGTTTATGCATTCTTCTTACTTCTTGGCGTGAGTGTTGCCTGTGTAATGTTAATACCAGGCATGGAAGAGCAGCTGAAGAAGGTCAGGTTACTTCTTTGCTAGCATGTTTGGTAGAACAAATGTCTCAGATAATTGTAAATGACATCTTGAAAGCATGGGTTTTCTTTGGAAATACGTAATTGTGCTGCCACCTGTGCTTCACAGTCACCGTTAATTTGACTGTAGGTCAAATAAACAAAGAACTCGTGGGACAGTCACTGCATAGATGAAAAGCACTATTTAGAAATAAAGTTGCACCTCTTCTTTAATAGCTCAGAGCAGAAAAAATAAAATCTTGTATCAAACAAGAAAATGTAACTTATGTATGTGGAGTTTTAAATTATATGTTATTGAGATGCTTGTATTTGTGGCACTTGATTGATTTTGATTGCTGTTAGTAAAAGAAAAAAATAACCACAGTCTAAGATATGTCTTTTAGTTTAATTGTGTTGTACTAGTTAAAAATCTATTTTAAAGTCTGCAAATGCGTAACAAAAATAATTCTCACTAATGATAGTAGCATATTTTTCACTTAAGGAAATTAGGAAGTGCTTATAGGATTTTACAGTTTATTAGTTATATGAAGATACGGTACTGCGTCTAAAATTACAGAATGATAATTTGAGTTATGGGAGAGCTTATAGGTTCACTGAACTCGGGTTGCATGTGCTTTGGTTCTGTTAGTCTTCGTTTTGCTGTCTTTAATTTTTTTCTAGTAGATAGTAACTTCTGTTAGGCATGCTTTTGATTTTCTTCCCCCCAAATGATTAATCTGTAAATGTTTATTTCAGTGTGGTATAGTAACCACGTTACAGCTTCAGTGAGAGCCGTGTTAGTCATCTAGGAAAGAAAATTACAGCCTTCTGGAGTACGATTTGACTTCAGAAAGATGTTGCTCATGTCCTGGTAGTGACTGGAAAGGATATTCTCAGCTGTTTCATATGGAAGTTACAGATGAAACTGTAACTGTAACTAGATGAAAGTAACATGTTGTTGATGTTACTTTTTGAGGGGAGGCTTTTTCTGTTTTAGAGAGATGTGAGCAGGCTGCCTTCTCCTGGCTATGTCACGAACCTGATAGTAACTGTCAAGTCAAATTTACCAAATCCCAGATCTTTTGTTTAGCTCCTGATTCAGATCAACAGGTGAAAACTGCATTTCTTTGAGAAGTTCTGAAATTGCTAATAACACACCCCACCCCACCCCCCGTTAATAAGATTTATTTTTGTTTTTGTTTAGAATTTGCCTATGCGGGATTTTTTCCCTTGAATGTGTTTAATATTCTGGTTGGACTGTAACTAGCAATGCAGCCCTTCAGTATCATATTTTCTAGCAATTTTAATAGTTGCATAATGTTACAATATTAATGAATTGTATATTAATAAATTGCTAATACATATTTACTCACAGGAGGCCTTTTACACATCACTGAAGTGTCTTGTATTTATCACAGATCCCTGGATTTTGTGATGGAGGGATGGGAACAACTATTCCTGGTGTGCACGGCCATGTGAATTGCGATGTACTAGTTGGTTACAAAGCCGTGTACCGTGTGTGCTTTGGTATGGCCATGTTCTTCCTTCTCTTCTCCTTATTGATGATCAAAGTGAAGAGCAGCAATGACCCAAGAGCAGCGGTGCACAATGGGTAAGATACAGAAATGAGAACTGGGGTGGGCGGTGTGTCCATATGAGATACAGCTACTGTGAAAGTAAAGCCTGTGGCTGAGCACACTGGTCAAATCTACTGTTCCACAAACAATTAATTTCGTAGTAGCTAGAGGAGTGTTGTTGCAGTAGAGGGCGTTCAAAGTTATTAGAGTTCTTAGACATGGCAGATTAATTTTTGCAAGACGAAAAGATACACATGGCTGTCACTTTTCAGAGCCTGAACTCTTGACAACGGATAATCTGTCCAGAGGTTTCCCAACATTAGAGATTCTGCTTTTGTCCGAAGATGACAAAATTCAGAGGTGAATAATGGTAACTAAGTTTCATTCCACTGAGATTTTTTTCAACAAATAGAAAGATTAAAAAGCCTCATCTGTCCTCTAGGAATTACATTCCTCTTCACTTTGATGTTTGTAAGGGCTTGCTCGTTTCTGAACAGTTTTATTTTAAAGATCGTAACAGTTATATGTATTTATATAGATGTATAACATATCTCTTCCCCCTCTGCTATCTTTTCTTCAGTCTCCCCTCTGCATAAAGAAGAGTGAGTTATGTATTTAGTTTCTGAGCTTTCCAGTAAATTTTTCTTTTGTATTTCATTGTAGTTAGGATTATCAGATGGAAGATAACAGTGGAATTTCAGCTTGCGGGTTGACACAAGTGGTAGTTTTCATCCAGGCTCAGCCTATGTGTAATGTAGCTTCTTGAACCAAGGAGATGTAAATATTTGTAATAGGGCACGGCACTAGAAAGCATAAAACCATTTATGGTGCCTAGTCTTGGCGGTGACAGTGATTGCTTAGACTACTGCTTTTTCAACATGATTATTTTTAACAGAAGCTATGAACAGCTAAGCCATAAAAATGAAGAAGTCATTTTACTTTATATTCAGTATAATAAGATTAAACGTTTCTAGCATAAAATGAGAAAAAACTTCAATGATTTCTGTAGGGGAAAACAAAATAATTAAGACTGAGCAGAACATTGCTTTGTTTACTTCTTTTGTTTGTGTCGGTCTAAAGAAAAAGAGGCCGGTACAGTATTAAGATGCGTTAGCAGCAGTAACTTGGCTCAGCCTTCCCCTCCGCCCTGCTTTGTTCAGGAGAGCATACTTGTTACAAGCAAGAAGAAAATGGTTCAAGTACATTCTGTATCAACACTGTGTGTTTTTACAATAAAAGACACCTTTTACATGATGTGGAATCTTTTTACCTAAAACCGCTTCTTAAGTGTTTGGGATCTTCTTGATACCCTTATCTGGAGTTGTGCTCTCCAGTACAAATTTTGGAACTATTTATGCAACCCATTGCAGTTCACTCTTCTTAGCCAATCTAGCGTCACTGCTAGGATAAAAGGAAAAATGATACTCGTTAACTAGTAGTTAGTGCTAAAATATTTAATAATGTTGCTTCCAACACTTATGTAATGACTAGTTGCTTCAATAGCATGCATTACAGGTAGCTTTATGAAAACTATGGCTTCTGATTTTTGAAATTGTATGTGTCTTCAGTAATACTTTGCAATGTCATCTTTCTGTCAGTGATTTGAAATATTCAGGATATTAAGTTTTTCCATGTATGTGTACTAACTTTTTCATGCTTGCATGCAAGTTAAGCCCAGTAATGTGGTCCAGCACCAATGTTCACCTTCTTTGCTTTTTAACAGCAGTCAGAATGGTTTCTTGCCTCAGGTTAATAATAATAATAGGAAAAATCAGTTATAATGTATTCACAGGATTGTTGCTGGCTTGCACAGAATGCATAGCAACTGTGGGTGTTATTTCAGATGAATATTGTTTTCAGCTGTCATGCACGTTATATGGGTAGAGTGTTAAGATCCCTTAAAGTCTGGAATGAGAGATGAAATTTTTACAAACTTGAACCTGTTCTTATTTCTATAATTGAGAATGACAGTGATTTAAAAAACCTAAAATTCCACATGTGGATTCAAAAACTGGTTTTAGTGGGGTATGTATTACACCGTAAACGTTATAAGTTAATTCAGCTTTCAAACCGGGTTTAGTCAGTTCTCTATATCCCAGGGAATTAGTCCATTTTTCCCATATTCTGCACTTCTGTCATCTCACATAGTTCCTCTCCACACAGTTGGAATTGATTCCTCTGGTCACCATCACCTGATTGTAACAGCCAGAAGGAGAGATTAAACTTGCTCAAAGTATGGAAAAATGACAAGAGAGAGAAAACTTGAAAACCGTGCAAGTGTTTGACATCGCAGGGGTGTGGTACATGTCTCTGGGCTATATTCATTTTTGAAGTACGTGTAGATGGTACAGTGCCTATATTTGGAGCTGCCTGTCACTGTGATCAGAAAAAATATTCTTTGCCTTCTTATAGTTTTGTTGGCGTAACTTTTTGACTTGAAGTTCCCTATGCAGGGTATATTTGTACACAGTCTGTATTTGGGGTGAGTTGGTGTATCTTTGGTGGAAGATATTTCCTTGTCTGCTTTCTGGGAAGCATCTGATCTGTTTTGCTTGTCCATGAGTATGTATCTTTTACTGGAGAAAAAAAACAAACAAACAAACAATGCTACTGCACTGGAACAGGGACTTAGAATTTGATTGTGTCCTTTCTGTGAAGGATAAATCCTTTGCTTTTGTTGTTGTGATTAAATCCTCATCAGATGTAGGCCTAAAGAGTCTGAAGTTAGGTGGGAAGAATCCAGGCTTTTGTACATCTCTCTCTTGTAGGAAATGAATCAAGACTGGTAGGGAACTCCAGCATAATGTCTCTGTCATTGTAGACACCAGATCTTCGACCTTTTTCGTTTTGATATTAAAAACAGGTAGGGATTTTTTTAACCCGATTTTCTGATTTGTAGGCAGTTCAGTAATCTCACTGCTCTAGTTAAAAACCTTCTTAAAAAAAACCAAACAAAAATACCCAACTCACAATTATATTCCACCCTGGCTTCATTTGTAATAAGTGAGTGAGATATCTCTGGGAAATGTGTCCAACTCTGTGTCAGTCTAGCACAGTTTAAGCATAATTTTCTGGACAACAAAAATCTTGGGCAGATGAAGTAGGATAAAAATTAAAAGAAGTGAGTTAAGAATGAGTGAATTAAAAAAAGAAACAAACACTTACGGATGTGTATTCTGTATACTTTCAAGTTTTTGTGAATTAGATCAGACTTCAGCAGTTGCCTGACTTTTTTTTTTTAATTTCCCTTTAGATTCTGGTTCTTTAAATTTGCAACAGCACTTGCAATTAGTGTTGGAGCTTTCTTCATACCAGAGGGACCGTTTACAACTGGTAAGGGAATATTGTCTTCCACTGTATCATGGTGCAATCATAACTGGTTTTAAAACAGAACTAAGTGCATGCTGATGTCTTATTGTTTTAATTGTAGCTGTGTAACTATAGCACTTTTATGTATTTAGGGACGTTAAGACAGGGTGGTAAATTATCTATGGTTCTGAGCTGCTTTTGTTTATTTCTCTTTTAGTGTGGTTTTATGTAGGTATGGCTGGAGCATTCTGCTTTATTCTTATTCAGCTGGTCTTGCTTATTGACTTTGCCCACTCCTGGAATGAATCTTGGGTTGAAAAAATGGAGGAAGGAAACTCAAGATGCTGGTATGCAGGTAAAGGACTGTACTACAATCAAGCTTTAAATTTCATTGTGCATTACGTTAAATAAGTTATTCACCGAGTAGTGCATTTTACCAGAGCGCAGAAGGGCTGCTTCGTGTATAAGTATCATTTTCTCAGATGGTGTAGTTCAGCTCCATTGTCTTGCTGTCCTTTTGATGTCAAGTTAAATAAAGAGGGGGAGGGTAGAGAGAGGGGCAGCAGCCTCTGAGTTATAAGATCTAATCCCTGGAAGCAGGGCATCAGTTTGTGATAGCAGAGAAGTCGCAATTGTGGGGTTTGGGGATTTTTTTCAGCCACAGGTTTTGTTACACCTCAGCGCAGATTAAAAACAAACTAGTCTGTTACTGCTTCATGTTGAGCGTAAGCATCTCAAATAATTGTTTTTTCTTTCTGTCTGCCGGTCAGTCATTCTTCGAAGGTATATCCTGAGTGAAAGGCCAAGATAGTGATGGAGAGTACAAGTCATCTCACTGGAGAAATGATATGTTAATTTTAATAAAACGTTTGAGATGTGATAATTTAGGTGCTTTAAAAGACAGCACACCCTGTCTTTGTGCAATGGCCTCTGATGTTTTTAATAAGATGGAATTTGGAAATAAGATTTTGTTTTTCCTTCTGTTGGAGAAGTAGTCCTTCAGTTTCTTTTTTTTAAGCTTTTAGCCAAAGTGTATGTAGTATAACAGTATTCCTTCATACTTGCTCTTCTTGGTTGCTGTTAGAGCACTGGAGGATCAAGTATGGCTTCAGGCTTCCCATTTGTTGTGTTCTTTCTTTTTAAGACCTCAGAGTATTGAGAAGAACTTACTTCCTTTACATTTCAATGCCCAGAGCCGCTCTCTAATTGTCATTGTATACCGTATCCAAAACCCTGATAATCGTGCAATATTATTTAAATTTTAATACTCTCCATTATTAACCAGTTTAACTCTGTTTTTGGCTCTTTTCACAGCTCTGCTGTCAGCTACAGCTGTCAATTACCTGCTGTCTCTAGTAGCTATTGTCTTGTTTTATGTTTATTATACTCATCCAGAAGGTTGTTCTGAAAACAAGACATTCATCAGTGTTAATATGCTGCTCTGTATTGGTGCTTCTGTAATGTCAATTCTGCCGAAGATTCAGGTATAGTTTTAAATCTGTTACCTTTTAGGGGTTTTTTTTGTGTTATCAGTCCTAGAAACCTATAATATTATTGTGCCCGAGACTTTTAATTGCCTAACTTCGCTGTTTCGTGACTACTTCGTATAGGAATCTCAGCCAAGATCTGGTTTGCTGCAGTCTTCTGTGATCACAATTTATACGATGTATTTGACTTGGTCAGCTATGACCAATGAACCAGGTAAGTGTAGTAGCAATATATGGCTTTTTGGGTAACCAGTTCAGCAGTAAACTTTATCATTACTGTTTTGCAAGGCAATATTACAGTGGGGTACTATAATGCATGCAAGTTAGAGGCAGGACTCACTAGTTTGTGTTCTCTTCACCCCCCCCCCCCCCAAATAGTTCTTCCAAAGATAATGTGTTTTTTCACTTGCTCTTAAGTTTTATCGTATGGAAGAATTCCAACCTATTATTGGCAGGACTGCAGTATTCTAAGGCTTAGACTTTGCAGATTACCACAACTCTTCCAAGGTGTCTGGGAGGTTCATCTCCCTACCAAGTTTCAAGTTTCTTACCTGGTGACTGAGATGCTACTGATTATATTTTTCTGAACTGAGGATTTAAAAAAATGTATTAATAAATGGTTTCAATGTTTCTTGTGTCTGAAAACAGCTAAGCATCTCTTAAAAAAAAAAAAAAAGGTTTTTCAGAAATTCTGGTGATTAAAATAAACTGCCAAATACTGATTTTTTTTTTTTTTTTTTTGTTTTTGTATCTTAATGATGGACAATCTTTTGTGCTTCTGTGTAACAGCATACATATGAGTCATACCTAATTCCTGCAGTAATTATGGGAAATAAGATTGTCTGCTACTTTCAGCTGTTTCGTCTGTGTTACCTGTGGATGCTGTGAGTTGGGAACTGTTGATAATACGAAACTGACTTTGTAGCATTCTTTTCCAACTCTGAGATGACTCTGGTACCCCATCTATAGAGTATATGTTTGTCAAACCGGGTTTCTAGTGGTAGAATTTCTAAAGTTTAATATGCAGAGCACTTTTATTGCATCTAATTATATGAGACGGAACAGTAAAGCAGTTGATGCATATCTTATATAAGTTTAAAATCCTTTTATCTGCTCAGGGAGACAGATTTTTATGCTACGTACTGTCATTTGCCTGCTTTAGAGAGACTCAATAGGCTAAAATTAGATTCAAAGCTTTTTTACTTCAAGACTGTCACAGTCACAAAGTTCCTTTCTATTACTGTGTATTCAGCATGGAAATGTAATACTAAATATTTGTTCTGTTCTTGTTTTATGTAAGTTCTAATGTAATTTCCCCCACAGATAGGCGCTGTAACCCAAGTTTGCTGAGCATCATTGGTTACAACAGCACCACCGTTCCGACCCAAGGTCAGGTAGTTCAGTGGTGGGATGCACAAGGAATCGTAGGACTGGTTTTGTTTTTGCTGTGCGTTCTTTATTCAAGGTAAGATTCCTTTAAAAGAATTCCTACTAACTTGTATTACTTCTCATTGTCAGACTAGTATGTCTCTACATACTAGACTGTATTTATTTGGGTAACTGTACTGTGTCCTTTCCTGTCAAATACAGCATCCGAACATCCAACAACAGCCAAGTTAACAAGCTGATGCTGACCAGTGATGAATCAACGCTGATAGAGGATGGAATGCCCAGGAGCGACGGCTCCCTTGACGATGGAGATGATGTTCACCGAGCCATAGACAACGAGAGGGATGGAGTTACTTACAGTTACTCCTTCTTTCATTTCATGCTTTTCCTGGCATCACTGTATATCATGATGACGCTTACCAACTGGTACAGGTATTCACGTTTGATAATATATTGTGCTAATAATGAGCATACAAGATGCTATCTTTTGCTGGACAAGGAGGCGTAAGTGGTGTGCTGTGAGGAATGTAGGTCTTGAATGGACTTCTCAAGGGAAGGTATACCGTTTAATCTATATTAAATGAATTGCATTTGAAAATTGGAGTAGCCAACCTTGTTCACAAGTGCCTGTCATATTTTCTAGGCTAGTTCTCATGATTCACAGGACTGCT